TGGTCTCTCTCTCTCTCTCTCTCTCTCTCTCTCTCTCTCTCTCTCTCTCTCTCTCTTTCTCACTATCTCTTTGGGATCTGGAAAAGAAGTATTTCTATGATATCTCATTGTATTCTTTTGTAGTGAAAAGGTACTTTCGATTAGTCACTTTAAGGGACGTACATGTTTGGCGGGAAGCTGGCGGGTGCTCTGGTGTGGTGCGTTCCTTCTTACCTCATCCATCTTCCTGATCTTTCCTCCTTTCTTGTGTTTGTCACTCTCTTGTTACACTTCTAATCTTCGGCATTTATATGACGACTTTGTGTTGCAAGTGCCGTGATACTCTTTACTGATTATTTATAAAACCCAACTAAGTACATGTTTGTTGCTTGGTACCGTCTGTCCTTTGCCTGGTCTCTGTGAATATCTTTTGGCCCACCAGCCATGTCTTGCATTCCAGTCGTGGTATTTTCTGTATGGCTTTTCGTCTACGTTTGTTTTGTTAGTCTGGACGTTGGGCTTTTGAACTTCTTCTTCTTCTTCCTTCTTCTTCTTCTTCTTCTTCTTCTTCTTCTTCTTCTTCTTCTTTCTCTCCTCCTCATCTCCTCCTCCTCCTCCTCCTCCTCCTCCTCCTCCTCCTCTTCTTCTTCTTCTTCTTCCACTGTTATGGTGGTTTCTGTCTCCATTCCCGTGTTCTCCCTCTGTTTCATAAAATAGGTCATATTCTTTGATGCAATGATTCCCAGATGCGGGTTGTTTATTTTTGGAGTATCTGTGCAAGGCGAAGTGTGTCCTCTTGCTCTGTTCTTTGTGTATGTGTATGTGTGAGAGTTTGTATGTGTGTATGTGTATATGTGAGAGTGTGTATGTGTGAGTTTGTATATGTCATGTATATGAAGAGGGAATAGGTCACATGCTGGATGTATTAAGCTTCCACACATGTCTCAACTTGTAGTATACAGAAGGCTTTCCCTCCTTAGTACTCAACAAATTTTTCTGCACTAAAACATCCCTATTATTAGATTACTCCACTTTTGTTTAACCAGTTTACACAAAATAAACACCAAACTGAGTAGATCTAGAGAAGAATTGAATGATCCAAGCAACAAAACATACTGTTTGAGATATCTGGATCGGTACGGATGAGGTAGATTGTTGCTGTGACTGTGAACAACTGAGCGATGCCATGAGCTAACTGAACTGGTGCTCCGTATGCTAAGCGTTAAAGTGTCTGTTTGTGCGGAAACTATAACGTCCATCTTTGTTAAAATACATATATTATGAGATTCGAGCTAGCAAATGAGTTGTAAATAGATCTTTCTAATTGAAGCAAACTGATCTTCATCATACTCTCGGCTTTGTTCAATTATGTCGTGTTCGTGGAAAATATTGTTAGGCCAAATAGGCTAGGTCGATGTTGGTTTTGGTCCTAAGTTTGGCTTTGCGATCTTTTTTTTGTTGTTTTTTTTTTTGGTAGGCCTATGTATGTTGGCATAATTTTGCTGGCATTGCTCTCTCTCTCTCTCTCTCTCTCTCTCTCTCTCTCTCTCTGTCTGTCTCTCCCCTCTCTCTTTTTCTCTCTTTCTTTATAATGTGATTGAATGTGTGTGTAGGGGAGGGGGATAATTGTTTGTTTATGCGTATGGCGTGGTGGGGGTGGGTGGGGGTCTCCACTTTCATTAAGTGAATAAAACAAATAGCAAATAAATAAATTTACCTATCCATCTATCCACCAAGACTCATAAGAAATGGACAAAGTTGTGTCAACGAGTTCTTACAGTCTTCTTTCATTAATCACCATTCTCCCACTCTCCCACCGCACTATCTCCATTCCCAGATTCCACCCGTTACTCACCAGAATCTCTCTCTCTCTCTCTCTCTCTCTCTCTCTCTCTCTCTCTCTCTCTCTCTTTCTCTCTCTCCTTCTCTGTTTATCTATATCTATGTATTTAAATTGATTCACATAATATTCATTTGTTTAATTTTTATGCGTTCCAATCTTAAACTATAATAATTGTTGCAAAACATTGGCTTATGAGATAATGGGTATCATTGTATCATTTATGTTTTCAGCACCGTTATTCCTAGAAGTAAATGTTTATTTCCTTTTGTTTTACCACGACTACAGATTGTACAGCCTTTAATCTAAAGAGCCAACAATTTTGAATGGAAAACTGGGGGGGGGAGAGAGCTGAAGGTTTTAAACAGAGAGGAGTTTGGGAAAGTAAAGAAATCAAGGTAGCATTTTATCAAGACCTGATTGTAGAGACTTCAAATGGGGAGTGGCATCTCTCCTCAGATACATGATACCATACACTTCAGCACTTGGTCAGGTGTGTTACAAGCAATGCATCTGTCGTCAGCTATTTATTGCATGTACACCAGAAAGTCATTTGCTGTATTTGATTGTATTAAGCTGGTTAGTTTTCGTTTTGGTTGATTTTATCTTCTTTTTTTTTCTTGTTATAACAAGATCGCTAAAAAAGCTGAATAAATAGCCGTCTTTTGTTGTCTTTTTTATCAGATGAGGCCAAAGTGGGTGTCTACCCCTCCAATGACGAGGTCCATTGCCTCAAGAGTGATGCGTTTGGGTGTGTCCATGCCTCCCTGGCAGACTCGGATGTTCTTGGACGTCTACCTTGACCCGTCGATGTCCTTAACAGTGGCCAGAGATTTCATCTCACAGTTACATGCCTTTGCTCCACACATGCACTAACAAATTATTTTATTGCGATGGCACCATGCAAAATAGAAATAATCCATTTATAAAAGAAAAAGACTTGAAAAATTAACCTTTGAATTTTGATTAAAATAGAAACTCGTGTTATGAAAATATAAAGTAAGGAGTATACAATCCAAGTAGTATCATTTTAGCATTAGCATTTCCAGTCCTATTGTCCAATCGGCGCCTTAGGTTGTTGTTTTTTAGAGTTGGGAATTGGTTTGTCGTTGTTGAATTCAAAGGTCCTCTAATACAAATAAACAAAGGATGTGAGTTTGGTTACTCAACGCAACCACAGGACCAAGATGGATATGAAAGGAAAAAGCAGATAAAATATTATCCAAAACAGATCTGAACCTGGAACTACTGTTTGTTGGTCAAGCCTACAGACTATTGAACCACATCAGGCGACACAACATATATACTCAGTTTTGAGAGATTATCTCAATAACTGTAAAATGGAGAGTAGCAAAGACAATGCTCTACGTAAACAGCGTCTGTCGCTGTCTTTTATCTACTTCCTTCCAGTCTGTATTATTTCTTGGAGTGCAATTAAAACGATTGTTTTAGTTAATATTTACTTGCCATTTCATGTTGTGAGTGTGAAATTTGAGAAATGATAGATGTTTTACTTTTACTTGTACCAGAATTATGCTATGTGTCTTCATTTCTTTTGTTACGCTTATTGATCTCTGAGACGTTCTATGAATCCTGATCCTTGTCCTTTTCCCAGCAAACTGATTAGTTTTCTTCCCTTGAAAGTACTGTTGTCCTTCCGAGATAAAAACTTTTGTAATTTGCACTTTCTTAGTACTTAGTACTTTTCAAGGGTGTCACAAAATCCTTGTTCAAACCAGATAGTCCATCATCGCAATGAGTACTTCATAGGTGGCAGCCGAAGATCGGCGTACCTCAACTAAGGGAGACCACTGTATTTGGTTCGAGACGGCTGGTTTCATTTTCTTGTATTCTCTCCCCTATACAGCTTCTTCCGGGAAGTCTTTTCCCATTCTGATGTTGAACACCAATATTCAATTTTTTTATCGGCATCGTTTTTCAACTGCATTGTCATTACTACAAGAGCTGCCCATGACTTGCAGGAAAGTAGTTCACCTCTGTTAACTGTCAAATTTATGTGTGTGTGTGTGTGTGTGTGTGAAAGAGTGTGTGTGGCGCGCGCGCATGCACGCGTTTGTGTGTGTGTGTGTTTGTGTGTGTGCGTGCGTGCGTGCGTGTGTGTGTGTGTGTGTGTGTGTGTGTGTGTGTGTGTGTGTGTGTGTGTGTGTGTGTGTGCGTGTGTGTGTGTGTGTGTGTGTGTGTGAGCACGCATGCGCCTATGTCAATGGTTGTTATCTTGTAACGGTTGATAAACCTACCATCTCGTGCAATTCCCCCAGCGCATATATCTTTTCATTTTCAAACCAAAAAGAGATTGCCAAGCTGTAGAAAAACAATATTGTGCCATGCTTTAAGTTTTGATCCCCCCCTTTTTATTTTGCTACCGACAATGACAAATTTAGCATTGCAACGTTCTATGCAGTATGAGCTGTTCATTTATCACATTAACACTACTCCTTTCAGAGCAGCAGGCCTATTTGTTTCTCAACCCTTTGTATAAATGTCCATTTCCAATAGGCAAGTTCCTCAGAAACTTTTCAATTATTCTCTTGTGACTTAGAAGGAGAGACGTAAGTCTGTTGTATGTCTGTGTGACGGTGATGATTAGAATTCGTTTTGTGATGGAAGCAGCATTATTTACTCTATGTTTTGCTACACCCTGTTCAGAGAATGTTAAAATTAAAATGTGCCTTTGATTTTCTACACATAACATTATCTTCCACAGACCTCTCTTACAGAAGGCTTTGTTGCAGGCCGTTTATTATTTGTCAGCTTTCATTTTCTACTGCTGTGCCCATGTGCCTATGATTTATCACAATTCAGCAGAGCCCTTATTATTCGTATCCTAGTCATTTCTGAAATACTCGTTCAAACTTGAAAAGATGAGTTTTCCAACATGATATGATGTACAGTAACAAGAGCCTTTCTATTTGTGAAAAACGCCCTTCTTTCCTTATGTTATATTGGAGGAGAAAGCAACAATGATAATTCATCTCACATTGGGTATCTTAGATAAGGACAGAAAACGACGCCTACCACATCTAGGATTTCATGGTTAAGCTCTTCACCCTGACCTACAGAAGATGTGAGTCTGAACCTCCCATGGGGAAGCTGTTTTATCTAGTATCACCGTCTCTTTGCTGTGACACTTGGGTCAACCCACACCTGATCGCCCTTGTCGGACAGGGTCAAAGAAGTTTGCCTCCAAAATGACATAAATTGAGTCGATAAGGGCGAAAAACAGTTGCAATCATTTCGATTTTAAAAGAAATTCTTCTGAAAAAAATTAGGAGTCAAAACAGAGCCCCCCCCCCCCCCCCCCCCCCCCCCCCCCTTTTTTTCTCTTCCTCTGAATCAGGGGAAGAGAAGCTCATTTTAAGAGATCCCCATAATGCTAGTTGTGTCATCTCAAATCAGTGAAATGTTCACACTCAGCTGTGTCAGCCCCAGAATAAACTGCACTATTCACGACTTCATGAAAAGCACAACTACGTTTCTATTTGTTCCCCTTTGTCCCAATGATCGGGCTGAGATAGTATGCATTATGTGCCAAACCCAGTACATTGATTTCATAAAACTTCCACAGTGTAAATTTCAAGTCTGTCGTTGATTTACTTCTTAATAAAAACCAAAGTAATTCCCGTATAAGCGTCCTTATTTCTGGTTGATTTTAATTATTCCTTTCAGAGCTACCATGCCAGTTGTTTTCCCCTCTACTGTTTGATGGGTTGAAACAATTAACGTATTCTACTTGTTTGTGGTTTGTTTTGATTTGATTTGATTTGTTGTGCTTCCAAAAGACTACACACAGAATACCATAGGTCTTTTGAAAGGAAAATATGGGAGCGATACTTGGACCCGGGGTAGGAGACCAGGTTATATATTTATTTATTTTTTATAGTAGAGAGTTTTACGGCGCTCGTAACTGCATAAGGTCATATGAGCGCCAAGGAGACCAGGTTAGTAGAAAATGTTAGAGGAAAGACTTGAAAAATTCTGCATCCAAGATAATTCAGAGATTGAACCGACCCATAACTTATGGCTAAAGGCGGTGGGGATGGCATACTATTTTCCACAGAGATATCCTCCGGCAGTACCCAGAATGTATCGATTCAGCGTGACACTGAACCCGAATTCCAACCGCATGCGTTGATCCCGTCCCGTGGTTAGGCGTTTTTACTGCTCCACCGACACTATTTAGATGATCATTTACGAGGCGGGGCTACTACAATACCTGTCAGGGCCAACGTGGATGGACAGGGCTGCAACAGCCTAGTAGAAAGACCGAGACACTCGATAAAAATTCTCCCTACTCCGGAATAGAACTCGGGTCTCCTGCGTGAGACAGCAAATCGCCTTACCGCCGCACCCCAGACGTCAGTATCTCCCGATTGCTGCGTTGGAACACACCCAAGGTGCTGGAATTGTGAGCTGGCGAGAAACTGCATTTGAGGATTCATCATGAGAAGTGAACTGGATTTCTTTTAAAATAACAAGAAAAACAAAACAAAAACAAAAACGATCGTGCGCTTTTTATTCGAATCCAACTGGGGAGCACAGTGAGCTCAGTTGTTAATCTTGCTGGACTAGAAACCGAAGAACCCTGTTCAAATCTCCCAAGGCAGGGTATTGTTTAACTTGGGTTGTTTGTGGAGTTGAACGGTTATCTACCTACTTGCTTCGTCCTATCGGAGACGACGATTAAATTAGAAGATCCAGCCTTTAAACAAAAATTTATTCAGTTTTGATCGGGGCGTTAAACCCATACCATATCGAACTTGGCCCCAATAGTTTTGGGGGCGAGCGAGTGTCGCTCCTCCACGGCCGCCTTCCTGCGAGCGTGTTTCTCTTCTTACACTCTCCTCATTTCTCAGTCTTCTGAAACTCGATTGTGTTCAAGTTTAAATTTGAAAAAGCTGCTCAGAAGGAGTGGTGAGTGTTGACTGAAACTTTACTGATAAGCAGTTATCTCTGTATGGCCCGCTGACTAACAGGGGAACGCACACTCCCGGACACTGTTCAGCGGCAACTGATTATAATGTTTGCTGTGATATAGCTGGGTGTCGAGCTGATAACAATACTTTGGAAGGACATTTTGAGAAAAAAGCACGATGGCATGGGAATGTTTGAAGCTGAGAAACACAGATAAATCTACTATTACATAATAAAAATTACGCCCTGGCTCAGGTATCTGAAAAAAAGGACCCACTTAAACGGCAATAAC